GCTACAGGAGACAAGATATATGCTTGCACATCAGTAGGGTGGAGGGGTTCAGAACGACAGAGCAGTGCATGCGATTTCAAGCACAGTAATTCCAGTGCATGCAGAAAGCAGAAGCAAGCAATCCTCTGTGAACTCAAGGCCAGCCTGGTCTATATAGCATGTTCTAGACCACGTAGGACTACTTAGACAGACCCTGTCTCAAACCAAACCAAATCAAGGAACTACAAAGAGAGCGGCGGTGGTGGTGGTGGAGATGGAAACAGGAAGGATTAGGTTAGGGAGGACAGAGGGAGAGTACCGGGAGAAACAACTGGAATCAGGGTCATCTCTGGGACAAGCTAGAAACCAAAGGCAATGAAAACTCCCAGGAATTGATGAGGGTGACTTCTAGCTAAGACCCCTTGCAATGGGGGATACAGAGCCTGAATTGGCCATTTCCTGTAACCAGGTAAAACTTCCAGTGGAGGAATTGGGACACCAACCCAGCCACAAAACCTTCAGTCTACAATTTGTCCTCCTGGGGGTAAAGGTGGCACAGAAATGGTGGGAGTGGCCAGCCAATGACTGGTCCAGCTTAAGACCCAGACATGAGAGGAGTCTACCCCTGAACAATGCCGAAAGGGCCAAGAGAGGCTGGATAGCCCAGAAACTCAGGATAGAACTAAACACAAGGGGGAAGGGGGAGAAAGAAAAAAGAAAGTGAATGAAATGACTCCTACTGACATTCTGCTATTCTCATAGATTGTTATCTAACCCAATTGTCATCAGAGAGGCTTCAACAAGCAACTGATAGAAACAGATAAACAACAGGCAGAGCCTGGGGAAATCACACAGAAGAGGGAAGAAGGATTACAGGAGCCACAGGGGTCAAGGACACAAGAAAACCCAGAATCAACTAAACTGGGCTCATAGGGCTCACAGAGACTGAACCACCAACCAGGGAGCCAACATGCGGCTGACCTAGGCCCTTTGCACATATTTTACATTGGAAACTGGCCCTTTTCTGAAAAGAAACAGGAGTGGATTTGGGGGAGGGGGCCCCCGGAAGTGGAGGAGAAAAGGGAAACTGGTTGGGAAGTAAAACAATAAAATTAAAATAAAAAATATAGAAAAGCTGGGTGGGTGGCACACACCTTTAATCCCGGTACTCAGGGAGGCAGAGGCAGAGGCAGACTGGGAATTTGAGAGTTCAAGGCCAGTCTGGTGGTCTACAAAGGGAGTCCAGGACAGTCAAGGCTACCCAGGGAAACCCTATCTTGAAAAAACAAAAAGACAAAGAGAAGAACCACAATGCCTCAGATTTTGACTCCATGAACTATTTTTAGTAGATGCTGATGTCAATGCATCAGAATTAAAAATAAAGATTACAACTAAAATTATGAACACATCTCATCAAGTTACAAAATATGACAAATTTTTATAACTTCCTAGGCATATTTCCTATGCCTAGGACAGTAAAAAAAAGCATCAAAGTGTATACAGTAAAACTTGGGGAATGACATATAATAAGAATTTTCTAGAGGATAAATGAGAAAGTCTTAAAATGTTCTTAAAATAATAAGCCTAATAAATATTTCCACCTAGCAGAAATAAAAACAGCCTCATAGAAGAATAAGCAAAGATGTAAACAAGAAATAAAGAAACAAAAAAATTGGTAACTTCTACTATGAAAAACTGAGCATTTTCCATTCATTACTGGGTAGGACGTAAATTGGTACAACCTGTACTCCTCCAACTTCTAAATAAAAAGTCAGAATATAGGCAGCACCATTCACACCCAAAGGAGTTTGCAGGGACCCAGCACAGTAACAGAGCAGTTGCCTAGCTTGTGTAAGTCCAGGGATTCCATCTCCAGCACCAATAGGAAGAGCAGCTCTGCTAAACTCCTTGTCTGTCACACCCAAAGAAAGCCTCCTTTCTAATTACTTCTGCTAGTTCTGTATGCATCCATATTAAGCCATATTAAAAACTATTAAGTTAGCTAGGCACACATCTTTAATTCTAGCAGTCAGGAAGGCGGAGGCAGGCAGATCTCTGTGAGTTCCAGGGTAGCCTGGTCTACAAAGTGAGTATACAAGGCTACACAAAGAAACCCTGTCTCAAAAAATAAATAAATAAATAAATAACAACAAAACTATTAAGCTATAGTTATGTTCGTATTATTTGCCTCCATGTCTTGCCTTCACTGACACAGTTTTTCCTAACTTTCCTGCAAAACTCTAACTTTCAAGATGCAGCTCAAATACTTCTTGCTCTATTGTCCCTCAGATAGAATTTAACTTCCACCAGCAATTTTATCATACTTGTGCCATTCCTCTAATGATAGACATTACATTAAAGGAAAGATATATCACAGATCTATGTTAGTTTATGATATATTAAGAAGTCCTACTCATCAACAACAAAACCCATGAACAAAAAAGTGCTCAGTTAAAGAAAGCATAGAAATGGCTCTTAAAAATGTTAAAAATCACAATTCCATTTATTACCTATGAAAAGATAGTGCAGTTGACTATGCTAAACATAAAGAAATACATTCTAATAACACTTGCTAGTAAGGACACAAATTGACAAGTTGTTTCTTTCCTGTTTTCCTTTTGGCACTAGGGACTGAATGCAGGACCTTCCACATGCTAGACAAGTGCGCTAGCCAATACAAACTAATATAGTAACTGTGGGTAACCGGATCAAAATTGTAAATATGTATATCTTCTGACCCAAGAATTCTACTTCTCCAAGGTTACACTTCAAATGCTTCCACTGTATATGACAAGATACATGATTATTTACTACGGGGTCATTTATGTTAATGGAATATTAGAATATTATTAAATTATAGTACATTTACACAGCTAAATATTATAGCTAGACAGCGCCATACCAACAACACAGATACTTGCTTTACGTACCACCCTTTACAAACAACAAGAAACACTAGTTAAAAATGCATATACTGTTACAACTGAATGATAAAGAACAGCAGGGCCAGGCAGTGGTGGTGCATGTCTGTAGTCCTAGCACCCAAGAGGCAGAGAGAAGCAGGCAGATCTCTGTGAGTTAGAGGCCAGCCTGGTCTATAACACAAGTCACCTACTTCTCACCATCTAACCTTCACATATTTTTAACTGCTTATCGTGGACTAACTCATTTAAAAGAATTACTTTTAAAGACAAAAAGCAACTGTTTGTGTTTCTTCCAATTCATTTTAAAATGCTCAAGGGCAGAACAACAAAACAGCTTGCCCATCTTCATAGCACCAGCACCTTGCGCAGTGCCTGATATATAGAGGACAGAGACTACACCGGCTAAGTTTATAAAAGTAAGAAGATGCTAAATAGCTAGAATTTACAAATTCCCCCTAAAGTGTCCTACACTTCAGTTTTCATTTTGAATATCCTATAATCTGAGGGTTGTAAGCTCTGACTCTGCAGCTTGAACTCTGATAGACTCTCCAACGCCACCAACTCTACTCTTTTAGGCTAGTCATGATGGATAACAGTTCTGAAGGCAGACAGTAAGTCTTCCCTCCAACACACCCACGCTGCCTAACTTTGGGTTACACTGTAATGAGTTATTCCTGGATCATGCTGTTCATGAGTAATGAAATTTAGATTCCTAAGCACCCACATGAAATTTAATCTTTGGCCTTCAATTTCTCCATCTGAAAATGCTCATCATAGTATACATACTTCATAACTGTTATGAAGATTAAATGAACAACTACATGACATGGGCTCAATTATAATTGTTATATAGCAATAGCATTCTATAATTTTTAACTGTTAATGTTCTATAGCTCTTTGGTGTTTAATTATTACTTACTCCCTGAGCCATTTGTTTAAACTACAGAAATGGTGACATTAGGAAAAAAGACATTCAGAAAAAGATGATACTCTGTTTTACACTGCACTAATACCAATGTCCTTAGGAAAAATACCAATTAGTGTTATGCCCAACAAACAGATGGCATAAGCCTTAAGTCGAAGAGCTCAGCCAACATTTGCTTTTCAGTCCCCTTCTCTCATTCCATTCAACAGCAGTAGCATCAATGGAGAACAACACTGAGTTCTAATTTCATACAAAAGCAACCTTTAACAAATTTCATCCCTTTATATTTCCATGTTGCAACTCTACATAAAAACTGTAAATTTATATGTATATGTATTTCTACATAACACAATGAACAATGAAAATCTGAAATCCCAATATCTAATTCTAGTACTGGTAATCTTGTAACATCTAACTATAAAGAGTGCCTTGGAGAAAAGGATGTAATTTAAAGAGCAGGAAAACAAAAGAAAAGAAAACCAACACAGTTTCAGAACTAAACTCCTTGAGTTCAAATCCTTATTCTGATATGTACTGGTCCTCTGAGCTGGACTGATTCTATAATCTCATTTTGACGGTTAATTTTAATTATCAACTGAATGAAACTGGGAAGAGTCTCAGTGAAGAGTCTGCTAGGTCGTATTGGCCTGTGCTCACCTGTGTGAGTCTCTTAGCCGGGTAAGCGCAGTGGGCAGACTCACCCATTTCATGGCTGGGCCCCGGGCTGAATGAAAGGAACAGCAGATAAGCACCGGAAAGAAATCACACTCACTCTCTGCTCCAGACTGTGCATGTGGCAGGCTAGGTTCCTACCGTCTCACTGCCCCGCAATGATGGGCCGTAGATCGCAATTAGAATCCAAAGAAACCCTTTCTTGGGGGTTACTTCTGGCAGGATGTTTTACAGCAATGAGAAAAAAAAACTGAGAAATTATCGATACCTTGATTTTGTTCTCTTAAAATGAACATAATACAACAGCTTAAAATGACAGCGGTGGCTAATTAGCTCAAGATGTTCATAAGCTGCTATTATTAAGTCTTCCCTTTCCTTCAGAAAACTAAGATCAAAGGAGCACAGATAACAAACTTTCACAACTATGGATCTTTATAGAAGTCTGTTGTTCAATCAGAACTTTTAACAGTAAATGAAGCAACTAAAAAAAAAATACTTACTTTGTATCAGCAGCAGCAAAATGTCTGTTGGGCAAGAGACTGCTTACTGAACAAGGGTAAAGAAGTGTCTGGTATGCCATCTTGGAAAGACTATGCCTTTGATGTTGTATCAAGGCTTGGAAGGAAAAACAAAATATTAACATTAATCAGATTCACACATTTTTATCTTCTAAAATCAGTTGTTTTTTTTTTTTTTTTTTTCAAAAAAAAAAGCAACTAATATTTTGTGATTTTTAACCACCTTTAAAGGGGGCAATAATGGGGGCCAGGGATTTTTTTTTTAACATGGAATAATTGGGGCTTCCTCAAAAGTAAGAGAATCTGAGTTTAGATCTCCCCAGAGAAGCCAGGTGTGCTGGCATACAACTACAGTCCCAAGGACAGTGGAGACCGGCAGATCCCTGGAAGCTTGGGTAGCCTGAACTCCAGGGAAGTTCCAGGCCAATGGAAACTGTCTCAAACAAAGATGACAGGTGTATGAAGAACAACATAAGGCTGTCCCCTTACTCTACACATGCAGTGCCCACATGTCCCCATCCCCATATGAATGTAACCACATACACATATACAAACATACAAAATATCTAATAGGGGTAGGGTGTAGTTCAGTGATAGAGCTCTTGGCCTAGCACAGGCAAGGCCCTGTGTTCCATAAGCAGCACCACTAAAAAGAAAGACAGAGTACAGAAATCACACTTAGAGAAGCTAAAAGCAAGGTGAGGCATCTAATATCTAACAACTGTTTCCATTCACTTGTTTTGAGACAGGAGCTCACTGTAGATTAGCCTGACCTGACACTCACTAAGTAGCCCAGGCTGGACTAAACCACAGGCAACATGTGCCTAGAGGCATGAGCCACTGCGCTCTCATCTACTTTTACCTTAATCTAATTTAAGCTTAAAAGATTTTTTTTATTAACAGGGAGTATATATATATATATATATATATATATATATCCTTAGATTTTTTAATAACTTCTACTTTATTTATTCATTTTAAAAGGTGATACATTTACAGAGTTGTCTGAGTTCTTTTAAAGCAGAAAAAAAAAAAAAAGTGAGAAATCTGCCCTACCAGATCAAGATTTGTTATAAAAAGGGGTGGGGAGAGAAGGTAGTATAGAAGATGGGGGAGGAAGGAAGAGCCAAGTATAATTGCATATGAATGGAAATATCTAAGTGAAACCCATTTCTTTGTATGCTGAAAATCAATAATTAAAAAAGACATTATAATGCTATAGTGCTTCTACATGTTGGTAGTGGTACAATATCAAAAGATTAGTAAAACAAAAAATGGCGGCAATAACTCATCCAAAGGCCCCACTACAGAGCGGAGAAATATCCACTCACAGGTGAATGGTAATACTTAAAAACCTTTCAGAATGAAGAAAAATGTTCTTATAGCCTTTTTGGGAGAAACGGTTTCACAAATAAGACCCAAAGGCACTAAATAAAAAGTGGTTGAACTAAGTGTTAAAAAACTTCTGCTTGGGCTGGAGAGATGGCTCAGAGGTTACAAACACTGGCTGTTCTTCCAAGGGTACTGAGTTCAATTCCCAGGAACCATACAGTGACTCACAACCATCTATGAGAGATCTGGTGCCCTCTTCTAGCATGTAGGCACATATACAAGCAGAGCACTATATAAATAATAAAAATAAACAAGTCTTGTTAAAAACTACTGCTTATCGAATATACTTTTTAAAAATTAAAAATTGAAGCTGTGGAGATGGCTCATTATCAGTAAAGTGCTTGCCTTGCAAGCATGAGGAACTGTGTTCAACCTCCAACACACATGTAAAATGCTGGACATAGTGGCTCATCCATGTAATTTCATAAACAGAAGGCTGATCCCTGTGAATCGCTTGTTAGCCTGTCTAGACTAATTGATACACCGCAGGTCCTAGTGAGAGACCCTGTTTTAAAAAACAAGATGGAAAACTCATGAGAAATAACACACTCCATGGGTACACACATACCCTCCCACATGCACATAAAATGAAAAGATAAACCCAAAATGGGTAGAATATATTTGTAACATGTTCAGCTGACAAGTCATAGCTTCAGTTTGAAAGATCAACACAATTAAAAAGTAAACAAATGGGATAAAAAAAAAATGAAGCTTCAAACTGAAAAGGAAATACAAATAGTGTAAAAGATGTCTGCTGAGTGGTACCTCATTAGTAATCTGGTAAATGTAAATTTGAAACACAGTACATCAGCATTACTTAATCTGACACTGGCATCACTTAGAGTGGTCAGCAGACCTAGCCTAGTCTGCAACCACATAAAGTTTACACTTACATGTTGAACAAGCAAATCACGAAATTATATTGTTCAAGGCAACTGGTAGCACTTCTAGTAACGGGCATGCTGGAGACCCCTAGATCCCAACATGTGGGAGCCTGACCTTGTCTCAGATTGAGAGAACAATTGTTCTTTCTTTAATCAAAAAAGTAGTGTTTCGTTTTATTGTGGAGATAGTTTATAAATTGGACAATCTACATCCACCAGAATAAGAAATCTCTAGAAAATGAAGTCACCGACAACATCAAACACAGGTGGATTTTACGCATTGCAGATAAGTGTGTGAACCAGACTACCACCCAGGGAAGCAATATGGAATAACCCAATGGAGCCTAGCAAGCACATCTCAACAATGCAGCAGTCCACTTCCAGACAAGTACCTTGTACGCGCGTTTTAAGAGACAGCACAGGAACAACCAGAGGACTGTTTCTAAATATAGAACTACAGAGAAGAACTCTCACATTCATCTACCGTAGGCTGGATAAAGATGCTGTAACAGAGAGCTATATGACTATAAAAATATGCGAAGTTCTACACAGTGAGACTCAAAAACACATTGCGCAAAAAATACCCAAGTGACAGAACCACTATTTAGAATCCCCTATAGTAGGAACCAGAGATTCACATTTTCAACAGTAATCAAACTGCTACAGACTGAGCAAAAGCAATTACAAAAGCCACTACATTAGACATTTCCCCATTAGACAAAGTGTGTCTGTCTTAGAGCACTCCGTTCAGTCAAAGTAGATCACCTCATTTGCTACCACTGACAAATAGTCCTCAGAGCTTCCTCAACTACTCAATATACTACATTCATTCTTTAAAATCTCCTGCACCCCCAGACTTATGCAAGGAGATATAAACTATTCCATCTCTTCTGTCACTTCATTCTCTTTTAGTAGCTATTGAGAGGTTAGTGGTCACAGGCATCAGTCCTAAACTGTTTTCTTACCTAGCTCTCTAGACTTCATCTTCTCTCAGAGATCTTATCACCAAGGTTTTGCTGCCCCACATAAACACTGTAGAACAGACCACCACCGAATTACTATGCTGGTCTCCAACTTGTTCCATCATCTACTTTCAATAATAACCAGGTGGATGCCTTACCCTGGCTCAGTGAACAAGGCAAATTGTCACTTGAGAACTCCATGAGTTATTTCTAACCCTATCTAGTGAGCCTCATCTAACTCAACTCTCCCACACGCTCACCCCATTGCAGATACTCTTAGCTTCTTTCAGTTACTGGAGCCATATGGTGAAATAGTGTAAGGAACAGCAAAGCAAAGGAACTCTCACTGGAGGGGGCCTTCTCCTTCTCTTCTTTTTCTTTTTCTCCTTCTTCTCCTCATCCTTGTTCCTCCTCCTCCTCTTGGCTGTCCTAGACTAGATTTGTGGACCAGGCTAGCCTTGAACTCACAAAGATCTGCCTGTCTCTGCCTCCCCAAGTGCTGGGATTAAAGACATGAGCCACTGTGCCCAGCTGGCATTTTGTTGTTGTTGTTGTTTGTCTGTTTGTTTTGTTTTATAATTTATTTTATGTGCATCAGTATGAAGGTGTCAGATCCCTTGGAACTGGAGTTACAGACAGTTGTGAGCTGCCATGTGGGTGCTGGGAATTGAACCCAGGTCCTTTGAAAGAGCAGTGTTCTTTATCACTGAACCATCTCTCCAGCCCCTTGTTTCATTTTTTAATGATCCATAATTCAGTCATTCAACATTAAATGTACCAATGAAATGTGCACTGAGCATGCTTTTAATTATTTAGGAAACATCAGTGAACACAACACAAAAATTCCTCTCCTTGTGGAGCTAGTGTTTCTGGTTAGTGGGGAGAGAAGAACAATAAATATGGAAAGAAGAACTGCAGGATAAAAGAAGGGGGAAAGTCGTTCGCATTTTTAAAGTAAAGATAGATTTCATATGAAAGGTAGCTGGGGAAGACATAGAGCTTTTGCCAAGCAAGCGTGAGTGGTAAAAGTCAGATTCCTGGCACCCACATATATGCTAAATAAGCACAGTGCAACACCTCCCACCTCCAGGAGCTTCTCTGGATACAGTGGGAATCCACAAGCTCTAGGTCCAGTGACAAACTCTTCCTCAACAGACTAGACAACAATTGGCAGAAGAGGGCCAACTGCAACTCTGGCCTCCATGTGTACACACACACACACAATGCACTCTTACACATGTGAACACATATACTATGTACACATACATATGAAAAAATCTTACAGTGCATATGACACTGAATTCATATTGGCCATATGTAAGTACTCAATAATGAGTAAACAAAACAGACAGTGCAGCTATAAGCTATTGGAAGACGTTGGGGCAAGCTTTCCCAGTTCTGAGCATAAAAGTAATATGATTAAGCTATTTCTGTAAATATTTAGTTTGTTTATGAGTATAAGAATGAACTACAGGAAAGAGGTCCCAACTGCAGGTAAATATTTGATGGCTAGTAAGATATAGACCTAACAGACGTAACAACAGATGAGGCTACTAAAGGAGTGAATTCACACCAAAAAAAACCAAAACAAAAACAAACAAACAAAAAACAATGTTGGATACAGATGAGATGAGAATGAAGAATGGGATGCTAGGACACTGGAAGGAAACAGAGTAGGGAGAAGATCACCAGTCAATTAAAATGAAAAGGACGACAGGTGAAATAGTAAGAAAGTTAGTAAGTATCCTGGAAGTTAAGAAAAGAAAAAGTGACAAAAAAATAGCATCTTCAGTTCTCTTAACTTCTTCACCTTTCTCTAACGTGATTTCTATCACACATGAGGGTAATACCCTCAATTTCTTTTCAATAATAACATATTCTGGTTTGCTTATTTAGTCGTCATCAGGGTGTGTGGTGATATCTTGTCACCCATAACTTTTTAAGAACTATCCTAAATAAGGATGATCTTGACAATGAACTTTCCTGACATCAGTTCAAAGAGAAAACGGAGGTAGCATTTGTTGGGAAGTTTAGAGCACTCCTAGGTGTATGGCTCACTAGTAGCCTGCTGGAGGTCCTAGATTCCACACCCAGCACCACAAAATAATTCACAAGCTTCAGCTCTTCCCTGTCATCTAATAGATGATTTTACTCCACACCAAATGGATAGGTTTCTTCCTTTTAAAGTGGAGTGTAGGCTGTTTCATCCACTTAAAGATCTGACTTAACTGGACAACGATACTTATGACCATAGTCCTCAAAAAAATAAAAAGGGGTGGTACTAAAGGGGCTGTCATCCTAACCAACTAGACTTGACTTGTTACTGAAAAAGAAACACTACAGAATGAGTCTCCAAATGATAATCATGGTTTTAGAGAACTTCTGTAAACGTAAGAACTGGAATCATCTTTTTTCATAAAGCAGCAGCAAACACTCCAAGGTTCAGATTTAAACTCAGATGTAAACACTCCATTTACCACCTTTGCCTTATCATTAAGGACTCACTTATCACACTGAACCTCCTCCCTATCCCACACACAGGTCAGAATCCTGCCTTGTATTCCTCACCTCCAACTGAAAAAAGTGTCTAAGTATTTTCCCTCCCATTTCAACCTCAGAGTGACCTGCTTGTTCCAAGAGAGAAACCTTGCGTTAAGTTAAGGGTAGCTTTTAAGTAGTGGTGACCCTCTGGGCTGTGGAGCCCAGAAGGAGCTTGGAGGCATTTCAAGTACCCTGAGATGACCCGTGCCTACAAGATTCTGCCATGCACTCCGCTGCAACAAGAGAGTCAGCTCTAGATTTGCTTTCCAGGCAAGAACACTGCCGGTCTTACCTCTCCTGAGACATCTTACGGCAGCCGCCATGTTGACTGACCCGGATTGTGTTGATGAAATTGGTCCCTCGGTTCAACTGCCCGGGAAAGAGAAAAAGGTTCCGCTCGGAAGCCGGCAAAGGGGGAAGGTGTTGGTAGGAGCAGCGGAACAGGGCGGGGACCGACCTGGCTGAAGTGCCCTCGTGGCGGGGCTCCTGTCGGTTCCCTGGCCTGGGACTGCGTTTCCTGTGGTTCCGGTACAAAAGCTTATCAATCTTCAGGAAAAAATGGCTTTGTTGAAAACGCTGTAATTATTTATTTCTTTTCCTTTTGATCCTGCAGACGTACTCGGAACGATCATTTAAGTCGAGGGAACCAAGTTTTCTGCCTAAAGTCTTAAACCTTCGAGTGTCCCCAGCTTCCTCCGCTACGTTTTCAAGCCTTGTTAAGACTTATTTCTTGAAATGTAAGAAAAAATTTGCTCCAAGCTAGCACGTGCGAGCCCCTGAGTTCGAGCCCCATGAGAGCAAAGAGAAAACAGAACCCGCCAAACTTCGCCACCACGCAAGGCGGGACAGGGGGTTTCACTTAACCGCTTTCAACACAACGCCAGACAAACGTTAATCTTTCAACAATCTGCTTTACGGTTTCCGGCTGCCGGCAAGCTGTGCAGTTAGGACTCAGCGAGCCGTACAATGCTTGGCATTTTGGAAACACGTCTACGATTTTGTTTTGGCTCTTGGTGTTCGTTTGTTTTTACATCAACAATCAGAAGATCAGAGACCCTTGCACGAGTTATGCTGACCCCTCGCTACCCCCGCCCCCCAAAAAGACTTATCCTTGATGTCACAGCTGCCTGTGGGTTTCTCTAAAACAAATCTGATCACGCATTAAAGCAACTCATTAAAATAAATCCCTCCAGTGACTGGCCATTTCCAGAGGCTCACTTATGTATGGCCTCTGCCTACCTGCTCAGCCAATAACCCTCCTAATGTGCACGCGCCTGTGTGTTTGTGTGTGTGTGTGTGTGTGTGTGTGTGTGTGTCTCACATGGAAGGAGGGAGGGAGAAAGGTATGGGGGAAGGAGAAACCACACACTTCTCATCTCTGTGACATTGTTCTGTGGCTTCTGCTTGAATTATCATGTACTACCACAGTGACTAATTTTTTGTTGTTGTTAAGATTTAAATTCAGACTTCATACATTGCTGGCAGTCTCTTTCCATGCTTCCAGAAATGAGTTATGGCCACTTCTTCCTGGTTTTGTATAATAAACAGGAGTTCTATTTGTTTATTTGAAACAGTTCTGAGACCAATTTTATAAATAATACAATTAACCAAACCAAATTGAACAATTTGATGGGTTTTAGAGCTTTCAGAGTTGTGCAACTGCCATGATATATCTGTCTTTCCCACCACGTTTAGCTCTTTATGAGCAGCAGCAATCATACCATTCATTTTTTTAACCCTTGCACGTACTACACACAGCAGCAGGCACGAACAAAGATCTGCAGTATATGTTTGTTGAAAAAAAAATGAATATATGCACACATGAATTAGTGACTTGCTAAGAATATTGAGCCTGCAAGACTTTACTTAGTTTCATGAAGCTATCCACAGACAATGGACTGGATCAAAGCTAGAATTTCCCAAAAGCTTTATTTTATATTTATATGTAGTATACATACAAATGAAAAATAAGATTCTTACTGACCTTTCTTGTTAACGTCTAAGCAGTTACTCCAAAAGCTTTGTGACTGTTAAAAACATAAATAACTAAAAACAAAAACCCAGAAGAACTTGAATCTACTTTTATAACTTTCTTCTAGCTAGTCCTCTTTTCTTTCTATGCTCTTTTTTTTTTAACACATAGGTGAGCAACTGCTATGTCTCAAGTACTGTACTTATATGCATAGATGAGGGAAGGGGAAGTGGCAGTCACCTCATGATACTTAAAGATAATTCAGTAGAAGTATATAGGTAAGTTCACCGATTTCTGTCCCTTAATTCATCTCCACAGCTGGACTCAGTTGGCCCTCACCTGGAAATGCCTACCATGAGAACATACCCATTCAATCAAGATTCACAATAAAATGTACTGTGCTTACAGCAGTATTATTATTAAAACAATGTTCTATGTGAATTCAGTGTGCCTGATTGCCTTCTTTGGTCACCAGAATTTGATGGAATAAATCAAGTAGGATCCAGAATTTAGACATTTGTAGATAGATAGGTAGATAGACAGATAGATAGATAGATAGATAGATAGATAGATAGATAGATAAAGATTTATTAGCTTAAGACTGTATAAAAACTATAAAATAACTTAATTAAAAGACATACTCTGAGCCGGGCATGGCGACAGATATCTTTAATCCCAATACTCATGGAAGCAAAGGCAGGGGATCTCTGTGAGTTCTAGGCCAGCCTGGTCTACAAAGCAAGTCCAGGACAGCCAAGGCTACACAGAGAAACCCTGTCTCGAAAAATACATACTTTGAAATGAGTACTCCATTATAACGATAATGATTTCATTACCATCTTGACTAGATTTTAAATCACATAGGAGATTGAAGCATACCTCTGAGTATTTCTGTGGAGATATTTCTAGAGGGAATTACTTGATGGGAAAACCCATACTGAATGTGGGTTCCACTATCCTGTGGGCTGTGAGCTCTGAAGGTACAAGGGGGAAGTCAAAGGAAAAGCAGCTGAGTGCTGGCTTCTTGGTCAAGGCAGAGCTGTTCTGCTATGTCTTCCCCAGCTCTGATGGGTCAAATCCTGTAAAACTATGAGTCAAACTAAATCCTTCTTGTTTTAAGACATTTCTGCCAGGTATTTTGGTCACAGTGAAGAAAAGCTAATATATACCAAACCTCTGTATAGTTAATACATACGAGTTTCTCCTTCCTGAAAAAAAGGTATTTTGATTATGTGTTGGGGGGGGGGGGTATTCTGGAATCACACTTCCTGCCTTTGAATTCCAGTGTCACAACCAGAGTGTGCACAATGTGGAGCAAGTAGCTATTGCCCTCTGGGCCCCGCTTCTTTATTTGTGACATTGGGCTAATCATGAGATAATTTTCAGAGGACCATTCTGTAGTTGTCTGTCACAGAGTCAACCTTCAATGAACGCTAAATGTCATTGTAAACAAACCAGATAAAGTTCTTAATCAGAAAGACAGAACAAAGCATCTACTTATTAAAACCATGCACAGCCATTCCCGTCCCCACACATGCTGGGATAGTGCTTTTATTAAAATTTGCAAAGTCTATGTAGTTCATCTTAAAATGCAAGGTTTGCCAGTTGGTTTCTAGGAAGGTTTAGCCACTCCAGGAGGCTTGGCAAAATGCCAGCAGCCTCCCCACTTGGCTAGCTTCCCTGGAGGGGAAAAAAATATTTAAATACATGCTTCAGCCTGTAGTTGTTTTGATTTGTGTCCTCAGACTCCTTCAAGCATTTCCCGGTTGGTGTGGAAATTTGTACTTCAAGAAAAGTTACTTCCTGTTAGAGGTTAGAGTTGGAAAAAACAAAACAAAACAAAAAAAAAAAAACAGGTTCTTTCATCATATAAAAATAAGGAGATCTAAGATATTTCTATTTCACTAGTGTATGAGAGTTACTAAAAGGCCTTATCGATCTGAGGCTTTCCACCCCAGGTTCCTCTGATCCATTAGGCGTGAAGTAGGAACCTGGGAATTTGCATTTACAATAGGTTCTGGGATGATGATGATGAAATGACCTTGGGACTACACATAGAAAAACTCCCCTCGTTCCTAGGAAACGCTTGCACACATATATTTAACATTAACTTAGAGAGGAATTGTTACTCTGTATAAAACCATAAAATCCTCCCATGGACAATCGCATCAAAGACCAGGATCTACCCACTTCTATCTTCTCTAACTCTATACATCTGCATTTCAACATCAAAAATCTGATGCCGATGCTGCCTGTGTTTGCTTGCCCACCTTAATTTTTAAGTATTGCCAATGCTTATGTTCCCTTCCCACACTGTGGTCATTTCAGAATCAGGTTACAGTTAGATTTTTTTACTACCCAGAATAACAGCATCTGGGTGCAAAGGTTGAAAGCTCTGTGAATGACAGATTAAAACTTCAATTATCTGGTTCCTCACATGCAGGAGCTTCTTTGTCTCCCACGAGACTGGTTTAATTACAGGTTGAATGAGGAGAATCAGAACTGTGCAGTGGTATACTAGGAAAAGTCTAGCCACTGGCTCTATGGTACAAAAAAAAAAAAAAAAAAAAAAAAAAAGATTCTGTAGCACTTTCACAGTTCCGTGCTGTAAATTCTCTCACAGTAATTAGTTTCAAGCTGTTAATCTTAAAGTCAATCAGCTCACCAAACCCTTGATAATTTAGAACTTGGTTCTTATATGGCTATACTACATGATTGGAAGTTTCCTAGTAAAAAGCTTTTAAAGACCTCTAAGCCAAACCAATTCTTTCTTGACCCACACTTCTCAAAATTTATGAATACAAGTCACTGGGAAATCTGATTAAAATGTAGGTTCCAGTCTGATAAATCTTGAGCAGGATCAGATATGCTGATTTCTAAGAAACAACCATGCAGCTAATCCATGTATTGTTCTTCAGGTACAAAGGTCCCAGAACACATCAAAGAACAAAATCTGTATTACTTCTGGTTTATTTGATTGGTTGTTTTTGTGTTTTCAAGAAAGGGTTTCACACTGTACATCAGGCTGGCTTGAAACTCACTACATAGCACAGACTGACTTCCATCTTGCAGAAATGCTCCTGTCTCAGCCTCCCCAGTGCTGGAACAAAATCTATAACCATATTGTTTTACATTGACTCTCTCTCTCCTAATAAGGAATAAACTTAAGGGATTCCATGATTTCTGAGTGTGGACCTGGAGGCTCTCATCTTCAGTGGAGATAGCAGACTTCCTGTCCCACACATCGTCATCTGCTTCTGGTCTAAACCTCCCCTCTCACTTAGATAAAACTTCCCAGGCCCAGTTATGTGAAACTTGGTTTGGCTCCACCACAACTCATGTTGAGGCTTAATTCTTCAATGCCATAATGTTGGAAGGTAGGACCT